AGCCCGGCCCGTGTGGCATAGCTAAGATGGACCTCGTCGAGATCTATCATTTGACATCAAATCCGTCAAAATATCTTGTTCTGAAGCCGAGTTATCTGCCGGCCCGCCATCTGCCCGGGTCGGCCCGTTTGCAACTATGCCTATTTTTGTGCTAGATCTGGACCAGACAAGTTCGAACAAGCCCAGCCATTTTCGGACGTGCTTATTCGTACTTTTTTGAGTACGATAACGCATACGAAAAACGACCATAAAAACTGCCCGGGGGGTTCTTTTATACTAAAAAAATTGGAAAAATCGTTAAAACCCCGCCAAGAAAGTTTGCTGGAAAACGTTTTTAGACGTACGGAATCGTTGGTATCGCCGGTGGCAGCACCGGAGCCAGAGTAGTTATCGCTGTAGGGGTAGTTGAAGTTAAGATTTGGATCCATACTTTGGGAGGGTATTATTAATTCACACCTGAAATCATTATTCGGTACGGTTAGATTTGAGACTTTTCAATAAAAATGTTTTTGTTGGAACTCGAACCGGATAATGATAAATTAACATGAAAAATAGGATAAAAAGCAGAGAAACGAGCACAGAAATGACCGAAAATTGGAAATAGATCGGCTAGATCTGTGTTCGTGAAGATCAATTGAAAAAATTTGAAAAATTGGGAAAAAATGTTTTTTGAATCAAATTTGAGAGCAAGAAAAGACTCAAAAACCATTGAAAATCGATAAAGACCATAAATATTTTCGAGCTTTAAGCCCGCCTAAACTTCAGCAAAAATCTTGGTTTATCACCGAATTTTGTCGAATTTTCGAGGCTTTTATGATATTTTTGGGCTTTAAGATCACTTTTAATGCTGAAAAGTCTCAAAAAACCACCAAAAATCGATCAAAAACCATTGAAACACACTAGGCCTAAACTCTCGCAAAAACCATGATTTTTCACCGATTTTCGTCGAATTTTCAACGCTTTTTTGGGTTTTAAACCAATCCTACACGATTTTTCATTTAAAAAACCGCAAAAATCGCTAAAATTCGACTAAAAAACCGATATTTTCTGCCTGACAACTGTTTTGTAACCAGTAAAATTCACGGAAAAAAAGTCGATACGAAAAGTCCAGTGGAGCGCGCTTGCATCGCTTCTGCGTATAGTGCCACGTTTGCTTCGATTTTTGCTATTCCGGACCGAAATTCGGAGGGATAACATAATTTTTGAGGGTTCTAGGGTGAAAAATTGGATTTTTAAGGTTAAATTTAACCTAGAACAGTGCAAAAAATATAAAAAATGCTTTAAAAATGTGGAAATGTCTTAAAAATGAAATTGCAGGTGAATTTTAAGTTTTCCAGATTTAAACCTGTTTGAAATAATCAGAAAAGCATTTATTTAGGATATTTCTTCTTAAATTGCTTCATAAATTTCGAATTTTAAACCTTTTTTGAATTTCCCTCCATTTGTTTAACTAGGCTCCGCCCACTTTTTGGCTAATACACGTCATCAATCGGGTGTCTGGATTATGAAATTCTCAGATTTCTAGCCATGAAATCCGCTTGTTGTCTTAAAAAAGTCGTTTTATCCCAAAAAAAAAATGTTTTTTTCAAAAAATAATTTTTCAGAAAAAATCAATGGAATGGTTTCGAAAGACGGCGAACGACAAATCTCTATTGGGACGACAAAATGGTGCTTTTTCGAATTTTTCCTATAAAATTCCATCTAAAAATTCACTAATCTTGCATGAAAAATCCCCAAAAATCGATTTTTTGCCTAAAAAATCACATTTTCCTCAATTTCCCTCTGTAATTCTGTGTGTCCAGATGTCCTTTTTTTCAGTTTTTCAAGCGGAAATTGGTATTTTTTGGGCTTTTTTGAATTTTCATAAATTCGGAAATCCTGAAATTCCGAAATTCTGAAAATCAGAAGTTCAAAAATTCAAAAATTCAGAGATTCAAAAACTCAGAAATTCGAAAATTCGAAAAATTAGAAAATCAAAAAAATCCGAAATTCCGAAATTGAAAAATTCAGAAATTCTGGTTGTCGGAAATTCGAAAATTCGAAAATTTCAGAAATTCAAAAATTCACAAAATTCAAAAAATCCGAAATTCGAAATTTCCGAAATTCAAAAATAAAATAATTCGAAAATTCACAAAATTCACAAATTCGGAAATTCAAAAATTCAGAAATTCAAAAATTCAAAAATTCACAAAATTCACAAATTCAGAAACTCGAAAATTCAGAAATTCCAAAATTCGAAATTCAGGCATTCAGAAAAACCCAAATTCAGAAAAACCCAAAATTTGGCGCCC